CCAGATATTAGAATTGCTGAACAACTTCTAGCTGATGGCCACCGAGGGTCAGCGCATGGGTGGATCCCTGCCAATCGTCGAGAACTTTACATTTCGAGGGAGCAAAGCATAGCCCAAAACAACTGACAGTATGGCTCGCCGTGATGCAACCAATGCTGCAGTCTGTAAATAACAACAAATGGCACTGCGGACTCTGATTTCCGACGAACCTCCATCTGACACGAATGCTCATACTCAACAGGACTTTGCTCTAGGAACCTCTATGCACCCATTAGTTTGAACAATGAAGGCTTCTTTTTCTCAACGTTCTATGGGGGAGTTCTGTATCACCCCAAAAGATAGCTCTTATCTTTTATGTACAAGTTCATTGCTGAGCAGTTGCAAATTATTTTTTCTGGTTTCGATCCCTCACACTATGGATATGTTAGCCCGCGTCCGGCTCAACACTCGTCGGCCCTGTAAGTTACCTTACTAGTGTTCGTTTCTGCCTCGTTTCATCCGTCCACGTCTTTTCGTAGCCCGCCGATGATAGTTCGCTGTGTCGGACTCCGTTTACCTCCTGTTATCTGCGCTCGATTACACGCGTCGTCTCGGAGCAGTCCTATAACCTTCTCCTTAATCGAAAAGATAAGCTCCCTTCTCTCATCCGAGGTTCCAACTCTACAATGAGATGGTGGAGAACGGACACCAAAACGCCTTCAAACGGATACCATCGTGCTTGGCAGACGCGTTGCAAATTATTTGCAGCCTACTACACCAATTTTTAATGGCAGAGCTACGAGAAAGAGCCTAGTCATTTATACTGCCTCATTGCATGTCATAAATGGCATGGGTACAAGTAGCACAGATTAAAAACGCAAAGGCAGTCGAGTATTTCGGTCAGGTGATCTTGCTTCATCTTGCGTCGTGGGCTTGAATCTGCGTAGATGCGGACATTCACCAGGGATTGCGTTGAAGAAAAGCGTCTGTAGCAGATTCCAGCGCATTGCTGGCGCCTTTATCGCTTGGTCCCGGAGAAGCTAGGTGGCTAAGCATAACCAAGCCGTTCATAAAACTGTTCCGTCCAACAAGCTACGCAAGTGTTGCAAATGTCTCACTAAGTGGAGTCGGTGACGTAGATTCGTCCTATAACCGTTAACTCCTCCAGTTCTATTTGCGTGCACAGGTCGTGCAGAGCGTTTTCGTGGCAGGACCTGAGTGAGTTGGTGTAATCAACAACCATGAGTAAACGGTGTCTTCCGCCTTATGCGCCTGCAGCCGCACAGATGGCTGGGAGCGAAAATCTTAACAGAGAACGATGAATCAGCCGTGTGGCTTTGATTGATGTCCAGTCTATCCTGACCAGTGTTTGCTGCACTAGCATCGCGGAATGTGTGTACTAAATGGTGAAGGTAATCTGGGTATTGTCAACACGGAAATCGAAGTGTGGATCAAACTTTCGTAGACGCAGCACATGCCAGCAAGTAGGTCAGCTAGCGTGAGCGAGGTCTAGCCAGTTGCAGCCATATGGATCAAGTAAAGGCCTAGTGGTGCGATGGTTTGCGTGCCTCAGAGATCCATTGGACTATGCTGGGTGGCGCTTTTTTGCACCTTCAGAGCCACCCATAGCAAATTGGTTAATGGTTAGAGCCTGGACAAACTCAGCCTCCTGGACCTCCAAGTTGGGGGTTGAAACGAGGGTGGCTCCTTTTTCCTTAAAACTGACTCCTTGTAGCCAACTGCCAAACCCGCTGCATTGCGGTCAGGTCATAGTTGGGAACCCTAATCATTCTTCTGTCTAGGTTTAGGCAGCCTGACAGTATCCTGTCCACGCAATACAATGAATTTCTCTTCAAACAATTTCTTGATGGTCTGGCCGTCGCAGAGGATAATCAGCGGCACCCTATCTGCTGTATCGAGCAGAATGGATAGGGGTTTGGATGCTAGTCCTAAAGCGTTCCCGTCTTCTTTTTCCCCATCTTACGCTTTTCCCCCTTTTCATCTCGTTCCAACTGCACCATTCCTTTTCAACTTCGCTATTGAGGAAGTCATGAAAATCGCGTTCACAGGACACGACTTAGGTGTGGAGGTGCTCCCAGATGAACGACTTCTGGACTCAGAGTATGCAGACCATATTGCACTCATCTGTGACAGTTCCCAGACGCACCAAGCTACAATGGATAGATTAGCACTGGCTGTCAGCCGCTTCGGGCTTAGCTTTGCAACCCCGAAGTGTAAAGATTTCCTCCAAGAGTTGCATAGACCGCCTAAAGCGATGACCCTTGGTGGAGATTAGCTAGAAGTCGTTCAAGAAATTCAACTGCCTGGGAAGTTATATCAGTGCCCTTGGGATTGTAGATGAGATCACGAATCGTATAGCAAAAGCCCCAGGCGCTTTTGCTAACCTTCGCCACATGTGGCGCCGGCGCGACATCACTTTCTCCCTGAAGGGTAGAGTGCAAAATGCAGCAGTACGTTCGATCCTTCTGTACGGTTGTGAAATCTGGCCCCTTAGATCAGCTGACATAAATAGGCTAGTTAAGTTCGACTACCGGTGCCTTCGCAGTTTGGCTCACATCTGGTGGGAACACCGCGTATGCAGCGAGCGTGCTTGACGCTTCGTTTACGGCACAATAAATTAACCGCTCAGCACCGTCATTGCACGCATCAGGCTCCAATGGCTCAGCTACGAGTTACGCATGCCCGTCCACCGACTCCCGCGACACGCGCTGCTTGCGCGCCAGGTGTGTGGATGGGAAAAGAGGAGGCGGACAAGCGATGACTTGTTCTAAAGGAATGAAAGCCCCCACTTCGAAGCTGGCCTCAGTTGGAGCTTCTCGGATCCATGGTTGGATAAACTTCCTGACATGGCTAGGAGTCGACCTCAATGGCGTTCGTGCTGAGTTTCTTCGTCTCACGCCATCCATCCTGTCCTTCCAACCGCGATCTCATTTCTTAGCACAAGATGATTGCACATAATTTTTTGTTGCCTAGTAGCCGGTTGGTAGCTTTCCGGAACGATGCGCATCCGTTACTGGTAGCTTAGCTGACATGCAACTGTTGCATGTTTTTTCTTTTATGTATTGCGGTACAGTAGATGAAGTGTTTTCCACTTCTAGCTAACATGTATAATGATGATGGTGATAGTAAGTGGCCTATGATGGAAGGAGACTACTGGACATTAAACGCAAGTGTGATGAAAATGCCTAGGCATTGCGATGCATATCAGCGAAGTTTTTACGAGGCAGATAGTGGCCAGCGTATACTGTCTAGATCAGACTCCGAATCTTAAGTCGCGTGAGCAGAATACTAAGACATAGCAAACAACTACGGTGCGCATTCTCGCACGCACCTATTGTTGCATGCAACGTCCTGGTGCGAATTTGCGACGATCAACATAGCACTGATAAAAGATGAACGTGATTGTTGGCAGTGTAGTAGCATTCTCATGCATATAAGTACGGCAGCTAGTAACAGACCCAGTGGGACAACCGTTGTAACACACCTTGCGCCCATGCTTGCAAATAAAAGTAAGTGAACCGTTAAGGCGCTGATAAGTCATGGCTCTACACTGCCTTGTGGGTCGGACAACTAAGTCAATAGTTAGAGGTGTAAAAGTTAGAAAAGTATCCTTGGAATAAGAAACCTGACAGCATCATTTGCCTGCAACACATCACTACCAAGCAGCGGTCATTTTGCAAACCCACAGTGCCATTCCACACACGTAATGGTATCAAATCAGTCAACGGGTAACGATGACCACGGAGTTAAGATGTGCTGTGTCCACGAAACGCAGTGCCCCGATGCTCAAGATCCAATGACGAATCGGATACCATAATACGTACAGTCCGTGGTGTCGAAGACCCCCACGGTATGCGTGCAAAAGTTGTCGCCCTACTTCTTGCTTTCTGTCCAACCTAAAAAGGGATTGTGGCACTTGTTTGTTTCCAAACGAGTAAAAGTGCTGATAGGTAATCAAAACACGCGAATAATACAGCAACATTAGATGGGGATCAGCTCCTTGGTATGTGTTTCTGAACAGCTCGAAAAAGAACGCGACCTTTATTTTTCATCTCCATAGCGCCAGACAGTGCTGTGGAGTGACAATTGCATTACCAATTCGAATTTTAACCGAACAATTCGGAGCAAGTGGTCGGTTCAAAAACTCATGCGAATCACCTGTGGTGATCAAACCACTAAAAATGAGAGCCATTACAATAGTTGTCTGCCACAAGTCTGTCAGTTGGGATAACGCATTTGTAAAACTTAAGGTATTACAATGACAACGGGGTCAGGGTGTGGTCACACAGTCAAGCATGGCTGACAATCAACCGGTCACCCAGCAGAGCAACATAAGTAGGATGTCCGCTATCTGGTCAAGTGCATCGCCATTAACACTGAGTGGTACTATATCAAACAAGCAGTCCGAGTGAGCCGACGAAATGGCTTTCCTGTTAAACGATGGTTGCCAGAATTGGCTGGAAGTACCGACTGATTAGTGATCATGCCCGACAAATGATAGATAACGAACCCACAGTGACCAGTATCCGACTAAGGTGCGCAACGACCAAACGATGACTTCGCATCACAAACAAATAACTGCAAGGCCGGTTCTCTAGAAAACTTGGTTTTATAGATAAAGGTGAAGAACCGAATGCGGCTGATTTAGCAGTAGTCCCAAAAATTGACGCAAATGCAAGATGAAGAGTATTGAATAGGATGTAAGACGGATGCTGTCGAAAGCCTAAGATTAGTCGCCAAAGCAAATGAAGTTTCGATAATGGGGTCAGCACAGGCAAAGTGAAGATAGGAGCGCCAGAAACGAGATAATTCGAGGCCAACGAATTACTGTTCACAAGGCGAAACAGACTTGCGAATTCGACACGAGGTGGAAGTGGTGAAACACGGAGGGGGATGTACATGAATAACTTCCGGCCAGACAAATATAGTATACTGAGCTATCGTGGGTCGCAATGAAAATGACGTAAACCTGATCAAGAAGCAGAATATATTTTCAGAGATCAACCGAAAAGATCGAAGCCCATGTCATCATCAGACTCCTCTTCCGGCTCAGCAGGTTTTTCTTTCTCTGTAGCAGGAGCTGCAGCAGGTGCAGCTGTCGGAGCAGCAGCCGCTGGAGCAGTAGCCGCGGCAGCGGATGGTGCGCCGATTCCCGCAACACTCGTGAGCAGATCAGTGATGTTGACGTTTTGGAGCGCGTTCGCAAACAGTTCTGGAAGATATCGTTCAACGAACTTGATATTAGCAGCCTTCAGCAGAGTGCATATTTTATCCGCTGCAATGAAGAATTTTAATGATTTGATTAGCGTTGGGCACTGTGTAATAAACGCAGAACAACAAACAAAAACAACAACAGCAGCATATCAGCCGTTTGAACTGATGCTTCGCTGCCATACAACCACCCGGCACAAGCCGGGCGCAGTTAATTCACCAACCCTATGAATGCCATTGTTCCTAGTTTCGGATACATAAAACTCATCAAAACCCTGTGTATTTAACGTGCGTACAAGTGCAGCCTGTTGATCAATTTAGCTTAAAGTGCGGACGTTGTACGCCGCCAACGAAACGGGACGGCGTGGTCTTAGAAAGGACTGTTGCCGATCGCCTTCCAATGAGTGGTGTGGGAAGATAGCTGCTGATGATTCGACTCCCGTGGCATTACGGTTGCTGTCAATTAAGCTGAGAACTATAGTAGGTAAGTTAATAATGGGGTTGGGGAGGGGAGTTGGAAAGATAGATGGAAAAAGGCGATGACAGTAGAATGTCTTCGCTTATCCGCCATGTTGTATGCAGTAGATAAGGTAACTCCTGATGAGCTGCGCAACGGCCGATGCAAGATGTAGTCAACGTTCGAAGAAATTGTAATGGTTGAATATGGGCTGGGAAACTGCCAGAGCGTCCAGACCTAGACAGGATGATAATTAGGGTCCTCAACCAAAGCCATTGGCTCAAAAGCCTGTCCGAAAGGCGGTGGGGGTGTCAATGATTTTGTTTCAGAGATACTGACGCCATCCCATTTCAAACCCCAACCTGGAGGACCAGAATACTGAGTGTCTGACCTCTAATCGTCGACCAACCTGATAGTTCACAAGGGGCCGGGAGGCACCCAGTATAGCTCAATGGGTCAAAGAGACACGCAAACCGTCGCACCACGTTAAGGTCCAGTCTGGTTGCGACAGGATGAGTAGTGGGAAGAATAAGATTTGCGGGAAAGTTCAGTCAATGAACGAAATCTACTCTATAAAAAGTGTAACTGGAGCTTCGTCTGAGCACAGCCTTCGAGGGTTGGATAAAACCGCTGTAATAACGAGCTCACTAACTCAAGCCATGAGCACGCTAAATTAGTCTCTAAAACATTCTGGTCGCTCATCAGACATGCAGGACAAGACCCTCCGCAATTTATTATACACATTTTCCTCATAAGCTGCTCTTGAGCCACACTTCTCATTTTCCAGTAAACTTCGCAAGAGACTAATCCATATAAACTTGTGCGTTCATTTGTAGTGTCAGAAGGATACTCTGCAAGTGAGTCACCAGCGCAGTTAGGCGACAAACAAGGTAGTGCTCTGCATAAATAAAGAATTTCTGAGGGGCCGCCAGCCTTGTTCTGAAGGTTCGGCGAGTGACCAAGAAATGTTGTACTGAGATTGATTGTGAACACAAATCAGGCCGTGCTAGTAGGGTAGGCATATTAATATGAACAATCTAAGCAATCCAGCAGTAAAGCGGAGGCAGCGGCTTTACAAAATCCACGACATGCGCAGCCTGAATGTACCGCTTAAGACGGGTAGAAAGCTGTTGCCTTCGAGACTAGATTATCTTATGCAGGAAACTTTGGGAGGAGTCCTCCGCTAGTTACCAATGAACAAATTTGAAGCGATGCGCGGTAATAAACGGAAAATTTTCTTAACGCAGCAGTAGTCAGTTTTAAATGATACCGGCATAATGGAAGGTCTTACTATGATCATCTTTCTTAAAACCGTCAGCAGTACGCCGCCGCTAAGCTGCCACGGAAACACCAGTCACTCGGGAGTAGGCGATACTTCGAGGTTGTTTGCATTTACAGTTTCGAACCGGACACCAAGTAAATGCTATAGCAGTCATGTTAGTGATTTGATGAGTGCAAAGAATCTATCATCTGCAAGTTCGAACTGAACAGCAAACCGATTGGCAAGTTGCGGGAGAATCTTGAAGCGAATGAGGAAGTGGTCCAGAGCAGGCATCAAATCTACCAACCCGCTAGCGAATCCCGAGATCTGATCGTTTACAACTTGATCAAAGTGGAACATCCCAGCTTCGTCTGGAATGTCATGCCGTACCAACCTGCTGTTTCTTTGCTGAAACAACTCGATTGTTGGATGAATGGACACAGAGAGAATTGTTAGCTTAACAGTAAAGCTTTTAAGTACCGTGAATCACCGCTTGCTGCCAGAAGAAGTGACATGGTTTGGACTCCACCTTCAGCTTTCTTGACTATCCGCGTTTCCTTGTGGAAAGATATTTCAAGTTAGGATTGGTGATCGTGTTCCGAGCACAAGTTCAGCTCCTAATTAAGTTCCCAAAATGTTGTATTTGGTCCGTTGCTGTTTCCTATGTTTAGAAGCCTACTGGTCCCTTTACCTAAGGAATCCACCAATACTTTTGTTGATGATTTCAAGCTTGTTAGCAAGGGCGGCAGGGATACGTTATTTAAAAGTTTGACCGCTGTTACTAAGTGGCTACAATTATGGGATCAGCCATTGAAGGCCAGCAAACGAAAAAGCTTGACTCCGAGTAATGAAGATGTACTGCATGTATGAGCTGGGTCTCCAGCATTGTAGCGTGTAACCGAAGCATGCGAACTTGGTATCAACGTGACGAAAACTTCAGGGCGTCGGCGCATTGTAAGCGTGCCGCTAACAAGGTAAGAATGAAGCAATTTAGACTCAGGATGGTTCTGAGCTGTATAAAGCAGTTGTCACCACATCTAGAATACTGTGTTCAGGTCTGGGCACTACCTGCAAGAGGATACCACGTGTATTGAGGTGCAGACTGGCCACTCGAAAGGTAGACCAGCAGTGGTTAACCAAATTAAAAATGTTTTCAATGAGGAGACGCAGATCGACAAAGGCGTAGCACGTCGGAGTATCATGGTAGCAAGTCAACAAGTAAATGTCCAGCGTAGCTTAGATGGTGATCGTAGTTCCCCCTTCTCTTTGCCTTCCCATTTTCTCTAGAGCAGCAATCTCTAGCGCGTTTTCACGCCATCCATCTAGTTACCTCACGCTCGATCTCCAACCACTAGCAGCAGAGACAATGCCGTCTAGGTCACCCCGAGGTCATCTTCTTCAAACACGTTAGCCACAGGTGGAAGACACTTTTGCTATTGTCGCAGTACTAAAGAAAAAATACATGCAACTGAGGCACGTCGGCTGTCAGCAGTAACAGATGGACGTCGTTTCGGAGAGCTAACAGCCGGCTATTGTGTCGCAGTTATATTATGCCTAATAAATGAGATCGTGGTTGCAGAGGGAGGTTAAGCGGAAGGGACAAAGTAACTCACATCATAAACGCCATGGAGGTCGGCTTCTAGCCATGTAAACAAGTGTATCCTGCCAAATGTGTTCATTGTACTTCGGTCTCCAACCAGGGAGCCGAGACGCTCCAACCAAGACCAACTATGAAGTAAGGACCTTTATTCTTCTTGATTAAGTCATCGTTTGGCCACCCCTCTGTGATGTGGGTGAAAGCTGGGGTGAAGAGAATCGTCTACCTCAGTGCGGTCGAGCAGACGATCGATCGAGTGTGCGAGTGAGATTTTTAAAAACACAGCTAATTGAACATTACTTCAGACTTGTAAACTGAACGTTTGTGTGCAGGGCCGATGTTAGTTTTTTCTCTTGACGTGATGGGAGAAGCAGGCACGCAGCATCTTCCATCCGCATTCCTGGTGTGCAAAGAACGCAGGTCGCGGGAGTCGGTGGGTTCGCATGCGCAACACGTGGCCTAGCCATCGGAGCTTGGTGCGTGAAACAAAGGTGATCAGCGTTTCGCACCTTTCTGCGCCATAAACAAGGCGTCAATCACATTCATAGCTTAGACGGTGTTCTCACCAGATATAAGTCGCCACGAGGTAAAACGCAGGCACTTTCCATCCAGCTCTGACTCTTACTAGGTGGTTGAGATGTAACTGTCCAGCCGCCTACGAAGTCTTTTGATTCTCAGCCCCTCGATTTATTACGACCCACGTATGCCCTGGACAAGGAAGCCCTTGGAACCCTCGGCAGGAAGCATATTACACATCTGGCGACCGTCAGCTTATAACGCCAGTCTTTTAAGTAGAACTGCAGTCGTTCCAGCGATTACTAGCAGTTCCTCATGTGGAATCGTCCGAGCCTATCATAGCGCTCATCAATGTGCGCCAGCAGCTTGACATGAGCCAGGGCTTCTGCAGGCGGAGGATAGCGCTCCATAAGAAGGGGGATAATGTAGCACGTCGGAGTGTGGTGATAGCAAGTCAACAGGTAAAATGTCTAGTGTAGCCTATATTGTGATCGTTGTTTGCTCTTCTTTTGCTTTTCCGATGCGTCTGTAGCATCGTTAGACCAGCGATCTCTGGTGCGTGTTTTCGCGCCATCCATGTAATCACCTGTCGGCCGGGTGATCTGAACGCCTGGCTTTCAATCATAAGGTCACTGATTCGAATTCGCATAAGAGCGGGTGTCCTCGCGATATACTCAGCCTACGCGAGACTAGTGGTGGTCGTGCAGCAGCGAAGCGCCGTGACGGCGTGCTTCTGACCATCCAAGCACCTCACGCTCGGTCTTCCATCAACAGCCGTGGCAATGCCGTTCAGCTCCCCACGAGGTGCAACACAGCTACATCCTCCATCCAGCTCCGCCACTTACTAGGTTGTGGTGTAACTGTCCAGTCACCTAGGAAGTATCTCTTTTGCCGTTTAGTCCCCTCGGTCTATCACGATTCAAGTCGGCCGGTGGCCGAGTGGCATGCGTGTCTGGTTTGCAACCATAAGGTCACCGGTTCGAATCCGCGTAGGGGCGGCGTCCTCACGGTAAACTCAGCCCACGCGCGACTGGTGGTGGTCGCGTGGCAGGGAAGCGCCGTTACGGCGTACAGCTGGCGATCTATCTCTAGCTATCACGACCAAGTACGCCCGGACACGGAAACCCTCCACCGGACGCATATTACAAGGGAGTTAAGAGACATTCGAAATCATTGAGGGTTTCAGGTCTACTGGTTTCTTCCAGCCAGTCATATCAGGTCAATCGCTGGGCC